TGTGCACATTTAGACCATGGGCATGTATTAAAATAAACTGAATGTGATCCACTTTGATTTCATGATGACTTTACAATATGTAAACCCTATAATAGTCACTATAGCATTACTAGACATTTTCCAGTGTGATCAGGCCTTTAACATACATAAACCTAGTTGATGTGCTTGTGTTAAGCTCTTGTTAGCTGTATACTCGACCCTATGACCCTTTTTGAATCCGTCTCTTAGCATTATAGATGACCCTTCTTGAACCAGAGTTTTAAAATAGGGTCAAATCTACAACTCTGGTAGATAAAGCAGACTCTGGACAGTAAAGCAGTGCGTCATTCAGGAAGACCAGTTAAGCTTGTTCCCACACACACACCAGTGATTCCCAGGATGCAAAAAGGGCTGAAATCTGTGTAATCCCAGAGTGCTGATGAACAAAGGCTCTGGAACATAGGACCGCACTAATCCTCTTTTTGTGAGAGCGCAGCCGTTATCGGCGACGACAGCCCCAATTTGGGTCAGACTGACAAATGAACATGGGTGCTCTTATGATATTCTTTCCCCCTGTGTGAACTCACACGTAAAGCATGCATTTACCCTGACTCTGAGGTACTCGGAGAAATGAAGCATCGATGCCTGAATCAGTTATGATCAAAGTAGAGTAGAGTTACGCCAGCACTTACAAATTTGATTTTGTATACATTTGGGATACATTGGTATAAAAATTCTGTCCGATACCAACAAGCTGATCATTTATTTCATGTTATGTCCGGTAACTGATAAATTGTCGATAAGTACAATTCTGCACAATTTTGTGTAAATGAATAATAATAATAAAACACTAAAAACTAAAGTAAATTTTAAATGCTGCGATCTAATTCATTAGAATTTATTATAATATTCACATGTCATTTTTATAATCTATTTACTTATATTTAAATAATTAATTATATAAATATAATTTTATATACATCACCGTTCAAATGTTTAAGGGTCAGTAAGATTTTTTTTCCCCCAAAGAAATGCATTAAATTGATCAAAAGTTTAAGACGTACTATATAATATTACAAAAGTTACAAAATGTTTATATTTCAATAAAATTTTGTTCTTTTGAACTTTTTATTCATAAAATAATCCTAAAAAAAAAAAGATCACCGTTTCCACAAAATACAACGCAGCACAACTGTTTTCAGCATTGATGATAATAAGTGTTTCTTAAGCAGCAAATCAGCATATTAGAATGATTTCT